GGCACAGTTATACTGATCTAGTTCAGAAGATTATAAAGCTTGAACATTCAAGCAAGGGAAAGTTTTCGAGAATCTTTCTTTCTGAGCGGGTTAGTGCTACTAAAGTATTTGTTAAAAAAAGTAGAGCCTTACTACAGATTAAAAAAAATGTTTAAAAAACAAACCAATCAGGAGCAGCATATAGTAAGTATAGCGTCACCCAACTAACCATTATTGTTAACAAAACAAACATATATTGATGAAATTTCAGCCAATCAGCATGTTCATCATAGGGAGATAAACCAAACCAAATCCAGTTACGACGCTATAAATTAGCCGAAAGGCAAATTTCAGCCAAAACACTGGCCCAAAAAATTTTAAGTTTATCTGGTTTTGAAATTTCAAAAAAATACCGATATTTCGAAATCAAATAATTATCAAAACGAACAATTTGACCGCCTTGATCTTTTGCTAGTGGTCTTCTCCAGCCATCACCAAAGAGCCAATCCAGACGACTACGGTTTAATTTTGGCCATGGATTTTCATATGCATAAGAATCAGAACCAGGTCTAAAATAATATATATTTAAAAAGTGTACAAATTACGCTAAAACAATCACGAAGTATGGATTTAAAAATCCTTATATATACTACCTTAAACTTATTCCTACAAAGAACGATTTTCGCAAGCAACGTATTTCTTTACCGAGTAATCCTTTCGATTTATTTCGCAACCAATTAAATTTGAAAATTTAGAAGGATTTATCTAGTGAACTTTCAAAGCCACATATTATTCTTCACTACATTATATCTTATTTTGTGGGTATACCAAAGATTGCAGTTTGATAGAATTTTCCTTCCACAGTACTCAACAATCAATTGAGTGTTTCCATGTTTTCAGTTATATGTGAAGTATTTTGATTAAGAACAAATTTCCTACCAAGTAAGCAAACAACACAATATCATATCCGCTGTTAAATATTTTTATAACGAAGGAGAAAGTGATATTCCTTCTGGTTCTATAAGTGTTTTGGATGTTTCTATCGTTAACAGATAAGTAACCTCAAGTGCATGACTGAGTACGATCCCTTTTAAAACCTCAAAAATGGTTTCAACGCATATGAAATAAATCCTACAAGACTTATCGAAACTTTCTATGTATTAAAATTTTCACGCTGCTAACAAATGACAAACTACAAAAGCTTAAATAATGAAGACTCATTCGAAATTCACCTATAATCTGCCGGCTTCCTTTCAATATTCTTTTCACTATGAGATCCGTGCGGAACTGCCGATGATAGCTTGCAGAAAGTGAGATAGATGGTGCGACGACGAAGTGGTAGATAAAGCAACATTCAAGTCGGAAACTACCTGAAAACAAGCTAAAATTAGAAATCAGCAAGGTTATTCATCTCTTATCATGCATGTAGTTACAACGCACACACATAATGAATAGAGGGCTGATATGAGTTCCACAACTTCTCGGATTTCTCTCCGACTCAGAAAACACAACTGTTGGAACCACTCGGAAGCCATAACCATGAAAAGATGAAAAGCAATGCGAACCATAACAATCACCCCCGAGTGTTCTTGTCCGTACGGGCCGTGTTTCTCTATCTCTGCAGAGCTGATTCCTTTTCACTATTTAGTGTGCTGTTTGTCAGGCTGATTATTTGTCATGTTAATTGCAGCATCGATTCATACTGGGAATAAATAGGTCAGAGAGCTAGTTAATGAAGTTGTTGATTTAAGAGACAGGTTTAGAATCAGTGCATTTTCTTTTTCACTGCAGAGTAGTCAATTTTAACCACAAATTTTTGAATCGCCAAGATCAGACTTGAAAAATGCAAGATAAAGTTTAGTTAACATGAGAATCGTTAGGTTCACGGCTAGTTTAAGATGAAGCAAGATTAGAAGAAGTAAGGAATAATACTATTTCATTTTACTATGAACTCTGTTGAATAAGCTGAACCGGAAACTGCTTTTTAGGGATTGTTACGTTTGGAACCGAGGAAAGTCAATCTAGCAGTGAATTAGAATTAATATTTCAAAGGCTACATTTATTAGGCTTAGGCTGATGCTTGGTAGAATATACATGTAGAAATGTGTATGTGTGTCGAGAAATATGTGTCCTATGTTAAATGTTCTTGTATCCTTTTATGATGTTCAGCTTTATGCACGTCCCAATGTGTTTAGTAAATATGCAAATGACCTGCATTTCATCCAAATTTCGTTTCATTTAATGTTATTAATTGGTTTAAAAATCAAACATTAATATATGAATGATGAGGTTCAATGATATTCGCACTTTGAAAACTTTGGCAGTTGGATAGCAGATGTTTTTCTGTCCGACTTACTGCCATTATAACAATGTGGTAGTAGCTGAGAAAGATAGAGATTTGTAATATATATTATTTATTATTTCCACTAATAGACGATCCGTTCGTTTCCACTTGCCATATTTTAATCGAATTAAAAAAAACCAAATAGTACAGTTCAGATCATCCGGTAGCGCATAAATGATCTGTGTCACCTTTAACATCATACTGCCAGCTCAAATGACTGCTGTGAGTTTCATTTTTCGTCTCGTGATGATGACGTGTCATATCGCTGCTCTTTCCCAAGTTAATAATCACAGCGCTCACTACGTTATACAAGAATTGAAGATTTGAGGTGTCAAACTATAACTGCTCATTGAGCGATATTCATCAGTATGACAGATGCCAACTTTGCCTTTACATTTATCTTTGATTTTAGAACAAGTTTGCAGACACTGGAACTGATTATTTTTCTACTGTTGTATTACTTCTATTCACTTTTTAACATTGTGCTTTGTTTTGTCTTTGATTTACAATTTAACTGTTTAATTAATAACATAAATAAAGTTGAAGGAATTTCATAACGAATTGTAGGCACAAATGGATGAGAAAGAAATTCAGGATTTAGAGCTGAACAGCGCACAGGAGAATTATGTGCCACCTCCGCAGAAGTCTGTTTCAGAAATTATTGCAACTGATGCTAGTGACGAAAGTTTGAATCGGTGGGTAATTACCTGATTTGAAAATCGTTCCATTCTTTTTGGAGGACAAAGCACTTCGTCAGGAGAAGAGTTCAAAGCTAGATAATATCTCGGCACTGCAATCCTTTGCAAGATGACTAAATGTGTACATCAGCCTGTATAATTAATATGATCAAAAAATCTTGAGCTGAATACAAAGCAACGAAAATATCTATGCCTCACGTTTTGGAATATGCTTCAGTGACGTGGAAGCGTAGTACAATTGATTTGAAATTCTCGATGACCACAATTTCTGTGTTTGAAGAGCGAAACAGGTCTTACTTGTTGATTTGCAGTTATAAACAAGCACTTCTGGGTCAGGCGAAATCTGGGCAAGTGATTGTTGATGCAACTGATCCTCGCAATGTTCTTGTACGTTCCATCACGCTGGTTGTCGATGGTCGTCCGAATATCACAATGCATCTTGACAGAGGTAAGTTTTTGCCGTTTTAGAACTGTTTTGTTTTTTATTTAGAACGTACAGCCATTGCATGTTGTTTAAAATATTTGTATTATTGCTAGTGGATTATTTGCGAATTAAAGTTTTACCAAATACCTACCATTCCAACAGAGTGCATAGTGTCGAACTGAGTACCAAGGTTTTCATGAAATTGCAGAACATTTGAACGAGGCATCATTCGTAATAAAAGAAGGAGCCGCATATAGGATTCGTTTTGATTTCCATGTACAAAGAGAAATTTGTACTGGTTTGAAATATATACAGAAGGTCACGCGTCATTCCATAACAGGTGTGAGAATTTTCTGTTTTGCGTGAACATATTTGAAAAGTGATACTAATTAAGTTGTTAAACGGTATTTGTAATTCATTAAACTGTAATATGTCAGTAGATGCAAAGTTTTCTGATAGTACTAAATCTTTAAAAAAATAAAACTCGGATCAAATATTGAGACATTCCATACCTTTTTGTATTAATCTTTTCAGTTGATAGAGAAACGTTTATGATGGGTTCATATGCGCCGAAAATGGAGATGCAGTCATTTACTACACCATTAGATGAAGCTCCATCTGGTCAATTTTTTTCAATTTTCAAATCTGAAAGATGTTATTTGTATTAGGTTCCGTCATGCGTATAACTTTGGATGTTCATTTAATTTCAACTTTAAATGTTCATTTAATTTCATGTTCTATCAAAAATTCGTTCCTTAAATTTCAATATTGCATTTGCAGGTATGCTGCATCGTGGAACTTACAAAGTAAAATCGCAGGTATGCGATGATGATGGTCATAATTGGTTATCTTGGACGTGGGGCCTAGAAATTGCAAAAGATTGGGAAGAATGAGCAACTTTCTTTTTATTTACTGAACAATCTGTTACTTTTGCAGCGGGTTTGACTGCCTTTTTGTTATTGAACTTCTCACTTTCACAATTGGGATTCTTTTCTATGATGAATATGTAATATAATGATGACTTTTGAGTATACTTTGTGGTATTTGGTCTCACGTCCGTGATTTCACTTTATTACTTGTTTCCTTCCAATTGATGCTATTTGATTTGCCTACTCAGCCTGCATTATATTATTGCTTGAACAGATTTAGCAAGTTTTCTTGTTGATGAGCTACTTTATCGCACTAATTCACTCCTCTATTTTCATCTGTATTTTTCTGCTCATATTGCCAATTAACAATTTACAAGCTGAATATTAGCAGTGATTTGTGTAATTTTTTATCCTAATTCACAGTAACTTTTTCTCTTCAGATCGTTTGCACAAATGAAAATTGTTACACGAAATGTCTTATGCACAAATTTCTTCTGTTTATCAATCTAGTGCTTTGCAATGCTTCAAATCCTTGTGGCTGATTAAGCTAACAATCGAGGGAAGCAAGTATTACTTAGTTTTATTTTTTATTTGTATTGGTCATATTTTGTTACAAATTGTATCTGGGACTTAATGAATTTAGTACTCCTTCAACATATCTGAATGTAAATGCAACTGTTGACATTTTTGGATTACAAAAAAGTTGTATTTCAGATCGAAAATCACATCTGGACCGCCTGCCTCAAAAACATGTTTCCTGACATCAAATTTCTATTTCCTTGAAGGAATTCAGAGTCCTAAAATGAAAACAGTTTGCAGATTCCATTTTCATTTTGTAAAACCATGTAGTCTCGTTTTTTAGTTTTCTATTTATACATCAGACATACAAGGTGTTTCAAAATGAAGGCAATATATTTTTACTTCTCTGTAGTATTTAACATTAAATGGCAGTTTTAATTTTAGGGATACACTCAATTAAAAGCAAAACATAAATTTACAAGATTGTTCTAAGATTTGTGGGATTTCGTTCATATGTGGGACGATTATGGCCGCAATCAGCCCTGCAGACATACTAATTAATGATTTTAACCAAGACGACTGCATAATTTACGTGAGTTCGTGAGGTGTGGATACATTTTATTTTCCATTTAGAACAGCAAAGAGCAAAGAATCTTTTACTGAGCTACTTGCAAATGATGCAATAGTTTAAAGGTAGAGTAACTGCTTTTATAATTTCCCAGAAGTGCACTTTTAACAGTTCTATCATTAAGTCGGAGAACTTGCAGATGGATGCAGAATTAACTTCAAGTTTGTACGCTAAATCTATAACAAAATGAATTTCAAAGGTCAACATGAGATTTCCCTTACTACGGTTTGGAAAATTCAATGTATTTGAGCACTTTATCCCATAGCCTGTTAGTATGTAATGTTCCCCGCATTTCTCTGTCCTACATTTTATCGTGAATAACCTGACAACACTGCTGTAGTGTAATATTTCAGGAATGATAGTAAAAATAGTGCAACGATGAAAACAACGATGATTCCTGATACCATCGGCTGATGGTGATATCGCTGTTCTGTCCCCTCCCTTCTAGCTTTTGATTCAAAAAATCCATAAAATTGCACTGCCGAAGTAGGAGATCAGTACAACTCTCTCCCAGCAAAATTTTCCTACGTTATAAGTCACGTATAATTTCGTTGTAAATATTAAGATAGCTCCAGTCCAATAATTAAACAGACTAACTCCTAATTGGTCGCAAAATGAAAAGCGAGTACTTTACATAAATAACAAACGGCAAATTCAGACACGAAAAGCAGCGAGATGTAATAAAATATGCTCTTTTGTAAATGATTTTTTGGGTCATGTGCCCAAAAATTTGACGACAGA